ATGATTCACCATATTTTTCTTATTTATTTCATGATAAATATCGAATAACATTCGAATTAATTAAATCAGCAATGAAATATTTTCCATCATTTTTAATTTATTCAGCGATTTTTTTCAAATGAAAAATTCATCTAATTCAATATCTATCATTTGGAATATTAAATTACTGAATTCAATAAATGAAATTACAATTGATTTAAATTCAGAACATCAACAAACAGTTTTAACAAATGAATTTCTTAGTGATTGTGATACTTATTTTGATGCAGCTGAAGAAAATATCGCAATACAACAATTTTTCCTTAGTACTGATCTGTCCAGTATCAATTCCATCGACGTCATCATTAACATCATTATCAACATTATTGTCAAATACAACAACACCAACACAAATAGTAAAAAAAAAAAAAAGAAGTTTTTGCTTGTTCTCATTCTCTCATTTTATATCTATCACTGTTATATTTTTTTTTTTTGGTTGTATCTCTCCTGGTGATCTTTTCTATCATTCTGTTACACATTTTTTTTTCCTTTTCCTCTTTTGAACATGTTCTCCCACTCGTTGATACTGCTATGTCAGATTTTTTTTTTTCTCTTTTTTTCTTCTTTCAAAGTTTTTTGTTTTTTTTCCCTTCTCTTGTTCACACCTTTCTATATACATAAAAAAGCGAGTAAAAAGTATTTTGTGAACAAAAAACTTTTTATTGTAAAGGGAAGGATGTTAGGAACGACATCTTTCCCTATGTTTTTCTTTTCGTTGTCTTTCTTCTCTTCTCCTTTTCTTCTTCTCTCTATTATATATGTACGTGTATAACTATTATAGGGGGGACACTTTTTTTCTTAATAAAATAAAGAAAGGTCAACATTTTTGTTGAAACGAACTCTCGGTGCAAAACATACCATAACAGTGGGTGTGAATACCAGTGAGAGAAAAATAAACCTACACCTACACCCTCAATTTTCGTGTAGAGTGACAAAAACTTGACTATAGCTCTGCTAGTGATAAAGCTGGTGGTGCACAGCCTATATCGAAAGAAAGACAATTTGTTAATTAATAAATTGATGAGAAAAACACTGTGCTATCAGCTTTGTTTCTCGATAAAAATAACAAGACTTTTTGAAAAAAGGTCGTTATCATCACTTTGTAGAGTGACGATTTGAAACTTGGTTGTTGTATAACTCTTCGATGAGTCGTTCGATTTGGCTCAAATTTTCACAATAGACATAAGACAAAAGTTCTATAAGTGATAAAAATGTCAGCCCTTAATGTTCTTCCACACAGGAGAAATTCATATTATACTACAAAATATAGAGTGACATTTTTTAGAAAAACATGTAGAGTGATGAATTTTCTGCAGATATTTTTAGTTCAACTCCTTCAAGAATATTCTTTTCGAGTATAGCTTAAATGAATAGAACGTGACAAGCAAATTCAAGTGTATTGTATTGGTTTTTTTTCTATCTTCTTATCCTTCATACAGAGCTGAAAAATGGTTCGAACTTTTCAATAAGTAAAGCCAATTTTGTTATTGAATTAAGCAGAAATTAAACTGTTCAACGTGTATTTCTCTTAATTATCAGAGAAGTGTCGGCAAATTTTTATCCTTTAACACAGATATAGAGTATAATAAAATACACTACTTAAAGTTTGTTTAGATTCACTTTCATTTTTTCGTGTCAATTGCACCAAAAAACTCCAATGCCCTAATATATATATGTATAACGAAAAGGGCAAAATTATGATTTTGTCCTTCTCTTTATATACAGGGTGGTCCAAAAGTCGATTTACCGAAAAAGAATTTAATATCTCCATTACGGCTTGAGCAAATGAGCTAATTTTATTTATCAATGATAGAGTCATGTTCAAAGTTTATATCAATAAAGACATGCTTAAAGAGACCCTTTGTTAAGTATCACTTATTGATCTCAACAAAAACATTTTACTTTTTCACAAATAGAAAAAGACAATATGAAGAGTGGCGTAAAAGTCCTTTTGCCGAAAAAAAAGTTGAGTATCTCCACTAGGGCTCGAGCAAACGAGCTGATTTTTTTATCAATGATAGAGGCATGTTCAAGCTTTGTATCTATAAAGACATACCTAGAGACAGGCTTTGTTAAGTATATAGTTTTTTTCTATCTGTGAAAAAAGTCAATAGTGATACTTAAGGCCTCCCCCCCTCAAAAATCGATCTCAGCCTAGGAACGTTCAAATGGGCTGAAATTTGAAGCATATGTTGGGGCTGAAGTGAGGAGTCTGTGGTAAAATTTTCAGCTCGATATCTCGACGTTTGACAGAGATATGAACCAAAACAAGGGTCAAAAATAGCTCATTTTCGTTCCAAGATTTCTCGATCCGGGCTCTGTCAAAAAATTTAAATTTGTTTTTGTTTGAAAGAGCATCTCAGGATACAGGGCAGTATAGAGTCCTTTTTTTTAAATTCTTACTTTTTTCGCGGAGAAAGGAGCTCACAAATTCAATGACTCAAAAAACGCGCCAAAAATGAATGTCCAGTCACATAAGTGTCTGTCTATATAATAAAAAATAAAGCTGAATTAAAAAAAGGACTCTATATTGCCCTACATCTCGACACGCTCTTTCAAACAAAAAAAAATTTTAAATATATTGAAAGGGTCGGGACCGAGAAATCTTGGAACGAAAATCAAAAGATCATAAACCGAGAAAAAACGAAAAACATTTTTCGGTTTTTTAAAAATAAGAATATTTTTCAAGAAGAGGTCAATGAAAATCATTGAAAATCTTGGCCAAAAAAGAAATACCAAAGAAAAGCCAATGTCGTTTCTGAAAGATCTGAAGACGGGCTATCTTCCCATGCATTTATCTCAATTTCGAAATTTTTGACGAAAATTGCCTTTTTTTTAGGGAGGAGAGGCCTTAACAAAGGGTCTCTCTAGGCATGTCTTTATTGATATAAACTTTGAACATGCCTCTATCATTGCTAAGAAATTAGCTCATTTGCTCAAGCCGTAATGGAGATATTAAATTCTTTTTCGGTAAGCCGACTTTTGCGCCACCATGTATATGTATATATGTCATATTGAAGTTACACCGGTCGACGAAATTATAACTTCGTCGTATAAATGTGACGCAGTTATAACTTCGACGATGATCGTTGTCGAAGTTACAATTTCGACAGAGAAATTTGTCAAAGTTAATTTTGATTCATCTATCAATAAATAATTCACTTCATTAAATATCATACTGTTGAATATATAATCAAAAATAAATTTTTCTAAAATAAATATTCATTTATTTAAGAATTTCTTAAATAAATGAATATTTATTTTAGAAAAATTTATTTTTGATTATATATTCAACAGTATGATATTTAATGAAGTGAATTGTTTATTGATAGATGAATCAAAATTAACTTCGACAAATTTCTCTGTCGAAGTTGTAACTTCATCAATATGAGACGAGGCAGCTATAACTTCGTCGACCGGTGTAACCTCGATACGACATATACATATCATATAAGCAATCCTACAGGTGAGTGTGTACACATGTGCAGGAAGGGAAGAAGAGAAAGACAAAGACAAAAAAGTAAAAAAGCCTGTTCAAGAGAAAAAAACTACTATTCGTAACGAGAAATATATTTTTAAAAAGTCTGCTGAAAGCTATAGAGTACTCATATTCGAAAATTCGTATCTAATACCCTCTTTTCCACGCTCTTTCGAATGATGTAATTTTTATCAACTTTACATCTGATCGAAAATTTCAAACCAGTTGATATGTTCGATAATTGTTGGTTTTTTCTTCATTCCTGTGATCAAATGATAACTGGACTGCATAAGCATGTTTAATCTATGATGCATGAAGAGGTAAAAAAAATATAATAGCTATAACACAGACGTATATTGTTAACTTGTTTTGTGTATTTGCTTTAGTTGAAAAAGGTAGGTAGGATGTTTGTATATTGTTCCTTCTCAATCAACATGATTCGACACTTATTCATGATTTTTTTGTAATGATTATAATAACGCGCAGCGTATAAAGAATGGTACTCTAAGTATTTTGTAAATATCTCACACACGTTCCATTGTTGAGGCTTTAGCTGTTTTTAAAAAGATTCTGCTTTCAATTCTCTTCAAACTGATGTAAAAATAGCTTATACGAACTATAATCATAACATTTAATTGAACGAACACTACCTAGTGAAAAATAATCATGGAAAAAACGGAAGTAAACGCATTCAGCAAAACATGAAAAGTTATCTTTGCCATGAAGAACACGTTCTTTAGTTTGGCGAGTGCGTTCATGAGCGACAAGAATAAGTTATGCATCTGAAGGAACGCATTCTTTGTCGTTCCACGGTTTTATGGAATAGTTTCTTCTCGGTTCAAAATCGTTCTTCATCTAAA